TCTTTTTAGTTCTTTTAGCAAGCATCCATACAAGTTTTACTTTCCAGATGAACATGATAAAAGCGAAGAAATTTACTTTGCATTAACATCAATGTACAGAAAAATAAAAAATGCAAGAAATAAGCAATTGTCTCAAGTTACCTGTAGGAATGTTTCCTTGGCTAGATCCCTGTCCACTCTCCAGATCTTTCTTTCCGCTTGAGGCATGCTGCGGCACTATATCATCATCTTCGTCGTAATCTTTTTCAGGAAGGCCTGTTAGGAGAAAGAATTATGAAGAAAGTATATATATCGATGAGGAGGTTTTAAATCACAAGGACAGTGCTTAAATCTGATGAAGCTTGAAAGGCAAGTAGGCTCTAGTAGTGTTTTAGACTTACAATAATAGAGTAGACTGGCCAATTTTCCCATGGAGTAACCACTCCTGAAAGCAGACGGCATGTTAGCTAGCAGCTGAAAACATGTCATGCCGTTTTCATCTATCGAATCCGGCGATATGTCGTGTCGGAGTAATTCCACTGCAGTTTCTGCTTCAAATAAAAAATAAATAAAAAAACATGTGCAAAAACACTTTGCATATATGTGACAACTCTAGTAAAAATAAATAAAAATACCAAAGTATCTTCCGAGGACGGCTATGTGAAGAATGCTGGTGCTATCATCTCGTCTGCGGTGAGTTCGCATGTCGTCGACTCTCGAAGCTAAAAATCTGACCACTTTTGTCTGGCCAAACGCAGCTGCCCGGAACAGAGGAGTCTCTCCTCTGTTGTTCTTAACTTTGAGAAGCTCTTCATCGCGGTCCAGCAATAACTTGACGATTTCGAGATGTCCGCGGGAGGCTGCCTCGTGGAGAGCCGTGTCCCCGTACTCGTTCTTTCTCCGAAGGGGCGCCAATTCTTCGATAAAAGAATGAAACAGCGGGGACTCATTGCCTTTGTCGTCGCCCAATATTTGGTTGAGCAGAGACCTTACCAATTGCGTGTTTCCGCTGTGGACTGCAATGTGAAGGGCAGTGTCTCCGGTGACCGTCAGAGAAGCAGTCACGAATTCCTTGTGCAACTCGTAGAAGTTCTTCAATGCGTTCCAGTCTTTGTTCAGGGCTGCTCCATAAGGCTCCGTCATTCTTGCAACGCTCCCCATCTCTCTCTCTCTCTCTCTCTCAAGATGTGAATATTGTGCTCAGTGCTATTTTGTGTATATGCAGTTGTATATAATTTAAAAACAATATATTAGAGGGTATCCACTTTGCTTGGCTGAGTGAAAAAGTCTCGAAAGTTGATGGATGGTACTGCTCTGTTCCATTTCTATTCTTTAAGTGCTTAAAAAGGAAAGTAAGATGGTATAACTTTTTTTTTATTATTTCTAAATTGAGTAACTAAAGTAAAGCCAGAGCCAGAGAGAAGAAGCAGAGGTGGTCCTAGAAGCAGTATATTT